ATTTTGCCCAACTTCCCAAATAATTTTTTGGAATGAGTGGGGTCACTTACATAGTATCAGTAGACTTCTTAATTGAATGTCAAGAGATGCAGTTCCTATTGGCAAAGGGACCTCCAGCTTCACTGAGAAGCATTCAATTAGATGGAAAACAGATGCTTATTTTTGTCTTATAAACCTCAATGTAGGTTATGTGGTAATTACTTCGAAGAGCAGGATAATAATTTATGTAATCAGCAGGACCCTATAATTACTAATGCATAATTTCTAAACAGCATTTAGCAAAATGAGGCCCATACATACACTTTGTAATGAAAAAGATGTGTTTGACACCACACTAAATTAAATTAAAGATTTGCATATTTTCTTCCAGGATATGCACCAGCTTCATCTGCCCTATTTTGCTTGACTAATCCCTGCCTACTTCTAGCTGCATTATAGGATCACAGGAATGCTGAATCACAATGAAGGCTGAATGATGGATAAGAACCAGGAGAACAGAGGGGTTTCCTTCTCTGTTGTCTAAGGTGAGATAGCATCATTCTAAGAGATGACTTAGAAAGTTTTATCTAGGTGACTTGTTTCCAATGAGAGTTTAATATCAAGGTCATACAAAATTTAGAATGTAAGTGCTGGCAGAGAACTTAAAAATTATCTGCTCTTATCTCCTTATTGCAGATGGAAAAACTGAGGCCTAGTAAAATGATATGACTTGTGCAATGTCAAGCACTTAGCAGTAAGAATAAGAAAGTATTCACTCAACCAGTTAGTCTCAGTCCTGTGTGAAATCCACTTCACTATGGTAATCAGATTACATACACTTAGTGTTAGACAGGCCACATACTCCATTAGCCCCAGGGATATTGAACATTTCTGTAGTACATATTTTAAAATTTGTTTGTATATATGCATTGCTAGTAGATTTTTGACATCTCAGAAAATGCGTAAATGTAGGGCATCTCCTGGAGATAATTTAAGCTCTGTACATATTAAGGAAGTTAAGTACTGGTTATTTACATTCTTTTTTTGAAAGATTATTGATGAAATCACACACCTTGATGAATTCTTACCTACAGTTCCTGAAGCCATGTCAAGAGGATTACTGGTCTCTTCTTCAAAGCTCTGAACCTAAGACATCAAAATGTATCAATCTCATTAGAAGATTTTTCATAATAAATTCACTTCATTAGATCAACATATAATGAGGCTCTATTGGTAACTGATAATAGGGATGAACTCAAATAGCTTGCAGTCTGCTGGGAAGAGGTGGCATGGACAAGGTGCCCATGACAAAGATTCAAAGAATTAAAGGACTTTAGGAGACGGCAAGATCACTTCTAAGGCAGAGGATAGAGGGTCCTTCCTGGAAGATGTGCATTTGAACTAAATTAAAATAATAATAATATTATTATTCTAGATTTTCTTTTTGCTCCCAAAGAACTGTAAATATATTTGGAGAAAGCAAGTTAATTATGGCTTGATTAACTTATGGAGAGTAATTCAGAAAATTCCATTGCTATCTAGTGCTTAGACAGATCAAAGAAAATATAATTTTCAAATTGATAGAACAAACTTTGTTTTTGAAATTCTTTTTAGAAGTTAATTAAAACCCTATTAATGAAAATGAAGTTATTATTAAAACAAAATAATAAATATTACTTTAAGAATAGTAATAGAGCTTACTGTAGAAACGTGACACGTAAGAAAAGTTAAAGAAGGTAAGAAAACAGTTATGGCTAATATTTTGGAGTGTTTCTTTGTAGGTTTTCTTTTTCATACATTTATTCTGGATATAGTTACATAGCAAAAATTTTTCACTCAAAAATTTGGAATGGCAACTTTTCCCCCACATCATAAAATTTCTTAGAAAACACCATCTTTAGTGACTTCACGATAGGCCATCCTTTGAGGGTGCATTAGTTTACTTAAAAATTCTCCCACTATTGGAATATTTTCTAAAGTTTGCAGTTAGAAATAACGCTCAGATGACTGTCCTTGTACATAAATCTATCTCTACACGTCATGTTATTTATTTGGGACTGATGTCTTACTATTAAAAGCTGAACCAAATGACATAAACATTTGAAACATTGCGGCACATATGGCCAAAAATGACCTTTAGCCCAGGAATAAACTGAGGACCAAGAGGATATAGCTCAACAATGTAATAAGAAAAAATATTTATTTCCTCTTTTAATTCTTCATCTCTTTTTGTCAAAGAAGTTACTTTATACTTGTAATTAATTAGACATACTTCTCAGCATTACTTTTATTGGTTTTGGTAACTCTAACCAGTGTGCATCATATGAATTTTCAAATGTAACAAAGAAAATTCTTTTGCTGTGACCATTATCATGTAGAAAAATCCACTTAGTTCACTGTAAAGCACATATTTGTCTATTGAGAAAAGAACAAAAGAACAATTTAAAATGGAAGCCAGGTGTATTCCTGGGCTATTCCAACTTAGCCAAACTTATAAATTAATTTAGAAAATTAAAATGAAGAAATAGTTATAACTTTTCAAATATTCTCCACCTAATCAAGATGCCAACTGACATAGTTTAATAATATGGTTAATGTTCTCACGGGAGTGTCTTTTAGAGAACAGGATCCCTGTATGCAAGCAGGAGGGAAGGGTGAAGATGATTTATTGTAGATACAAAGAAATCTCTTTGCACAAGTTTCTCAGGTATTAAATTCTCTTAATATGTTTGGGAATTTAGGAAGAAAGGAACTGACTCAATTTCACTAAGTAAAATTAAACACAAAAATATGTTTATTTTTGCATTAAAAATCTATGCACAATTTTGTTGGAATCATAACTTTGAGAAGTGAGCCAAATATTGCCAAATTCAGCCTTTAATAGGATGTTAGGGAAAGCATCATAGATTGATCTAGAGGCAAAATTTGGCCAATCATAGTTGCAATTCTGATAGCTAGATATTTAAGTACATTGACTCATGTTTTAAATGCCATGAAAATCTGCCAATTTCACACATATTTTTAATTTGTTATAATAGGGTTTGTAGATTTGCCATTGAAAATAAATATTAAATCTGGCATTGGATCTTGTTGAAGATGCATTCTACCCAAGCTTTATTTACTCACCCATTGGTACTGAGCAACACAAATATCTTTTCCCCAGTGAGAATGTAATATTTGATACATACTTTTTACAAAAACAAAATTTGAGTAGTGAAGTTTTTTTTTTATCATTTTTAGGGCTATCTCTGTCTTACATATACATAAAGCCCTTCATATGCAAAAATCCAGGAAAATATTAAAAGAACATTATAAACAAAGTTGGCTATGAAATTCAACAGAATATTCTGTTTTTCTATGGAAGCCACTTGTAGAATAAATTAATATTATCAAACACTTTAAAAGTCATATTACTCATTCAATGAATATTTACTGAGTACCTACTATGTGCCAGAGAAATGTTTTTTGTTTTTGTTTTTGTTTTGGTGCCTGAGTGTGTTCCTTCCTTCCTCCCAAAATATACTAACATATAGTTTTTCCTTGAATAATTGTCATTTAAATATTTAAAAATATACTGGACAAGGACTGACATTCTTTTCTTATTTCTTTATGTGAAATTTGACATGTACTCTCACATACAGATAGCCTGCAATGAAAATTATTTCCCTGTTAGTCACTGTAGGTTGAAGCAGAGGAAACTTGAAACAGGCTTGACATTGGGTTGAATTTCTGTGAAACTTCTTGTTTAGATCCTAGCTAACATAGCAGACTGACTAATGAATTGCAGATTGACTTGACATTCTTTATAGTAATTTAACTATTAGCTTGGTGATTGAATCATCTTTGCAAGATTGAGTTAAAAGAAAATGATCATTTTCAGTGCCAACTCAGTCTTTCCTCAAATTAGGGCATTTGACCAAAGGTTTGCTTTTTTCCTCCTTTTATCATTTTAATTCATTTTAGCGCTCGTATTTTAAATTCAGTTTAATATTTTAAGGCTCTTTTTTTTTTAGATAAGGCATATGCATACATGTACATACATACACATATATACATATATATTAGTATCATTAACAGCTACATATTTTGAGGTAATTTTTATATCTTTGTAGGGTGGGAAGGGCTACCAATAGGCATATCCACCTCACCAAATCCTTTTTTTTCTGCTAAGGTTATGGTTAAGCCTTACTTCCTACAAGTTTCTTGATCCTCTTAGTCTCCCAGCCGTTTAAGAATGCCTCTACTTGTTCCTCAAATACCCCAAAACATGCATGTATAGAGACATAAAAGCATATCTCTAGGGCTGTCACCGTCCTTGCCATGCTGTTGGTTTTTGTGCCCATCCCTGCCGTTTCACGGTAGCTCCCTTCAAGGAAGATTCTGTTACCATTTCTGTGCTGGTAACTCCGTGCCTGGCCGGTAGAGGGCTCCATGGAGCAACGAACCCGCCTTGGGATTTACACATAAACACCCTTCCCTACTTTTGCATTATTTAGATGAGAGGAGGAGAAGAGCCATGCTCTTCTTTTGTATGTAACAGAGTTATCAAACAGCTAACTCCCGGTCCAGGTTGCCATTAAGAATAGAGAAATGAGTGGAAATGTATACTCGTATTTTGGGGGGGAAAATGAGAAGTACAGGTGAGGATATCATCTAAATGAGGGTGAAATTAGTATGGGCGAGTCATAGTGGGAAAACGTTTCTGGCGCACATCCCCTGGTCCTCAAGGAACTGAGAGTCTAGTGGGCGAGATGCCATTGACACTCACACAGTCTCTAACCTCTGGGCCAAGCTCTCCCTGCCACAGCCGCGAGCATGCCACAGCAAGTTTCAGGGTGGGAAGTAGTTGCACTGACCCTCAAAGAGGGTGAAAGGTGGAAAATTAGAGAGTAGATAAAATGCATACGAAGATGCATAATAAAGCCCTGAAATAAAGCAAAGTCAGATATGACTTATGGGTTTAACTATGAGCAAGAAAAAGAGAAGGAACAGGAGAACGCAAAGGCTGGTTTCATACTCGTTTATTTTTGACTGAAGCCAGTAGAATGACTTTGCATGTCCCGGACCGAGTTGGAAAGTAAGAAGAAATGCTGAGGGGTTGAAAGATGGAATGGGCAAACGAGGGCTGGAAGGCAAAGGATGCATGGGACAGGTTACTCCCTCGGGAAGCTCAGCGCTCACTTACAACACTGACCTCTTCCATTTCGAAGGAGTCTGGTCCTTCACGAGCAAGACGAGACAAGTTCTTGAGCTTATTAGTCTGAGTTAAGTTCTTCTGAGTTCTGCCCTTGGCTGACCCCTCGGACACACAGGACGGAGTGGTCTGCTTGGTCAGCTGCTTGCCCTGAAGAGCTCGGGGAGGATGACAAGGTGTCAAGTCATCGCAGGCTGGGAGAGACGGGTGCTCTGCTGAAGGAGACAAATGCCCTTGGTCCTGGTTGAATGTGGCCGCAGGTAAGTCTGCTCCACTCTCCTCTGGCTTTGCAGAGGGGGTGAAAAATTCATCCTTCATCTTGAATGACTCTGATGCTCCTGAGCTACAGTCCCTCCTGATGTTTTGTTTCGAGGCTCTCCTTAGAAGTTTACCCATCCTTCTCTGATGCTCTTTGGCCCCGCTCCCCGAGGTTCTTTGCACACTCTCTCCTCCGGCTCTCTGTTCGGCTTTGTTCTGTAGGACGCTCACACCACTCAGCAAAGATGAGAAGGGACTTGTCACCTGGTGCAGGATTTCCAGCTGTCGGAAATGGCCTGAACAACACAAGGAACACAAAATTGCTAGCCTGTGTCTTTTTGATGAACCTGTGTTAACTGTAGCAAAAACTGAAGACTCAGTTAATATATGTTTTTCGAGATGAGAAGGGCATTAAGCTCTTTGAAACTCAAGTTTTCTCAGTCCATGCCATTGTTATTATACAGATTATGCCTCTACAGGATGAGGTATCACTGTGTTATGGGGAAAGTGAATACCTTTTACGTTTAGTTAAATATACATAACTACATAGACTTATATATGTCTGTAGTTTTTATGTGTTAATCTATTAAAAACTGTAAGCATAGGCAAATCTATGCACTTGCATGTACTAAACTAAAAGTGAGTGACCCAGCCCTGTCAGCATGAGGTGGCCTGAGCATTCTTCCACAGCTTTGTGCGGTGAATGTCCTCATCATCACTTCCATCACCCCCATCTATACTGTCACCTGGGAGTGTGGAAGGACCATGGCAGATGGAGTCAAAAGGCCTGGACACAAGTCCTGGGTTAACCAATCACCGGAAATTTGACCTCAGGGTACATGAATTGGTACATATAGTGCTTAGGCCTGTGCCAGGCACACAGTAAATGGCTGGTTTCTTATTTGGGGAATGGAACCTGTCTTATGTATCCTTCACATCCATTGTGAGCACCAAAGCAAAGTTGTAAAAGCACAATGCTATGTAAGTACCAGTTGTTAAAATAATAATTATAGATGTCCGAGACTCAGGAAGGAAATATATTGTCCTCTGTCTTTCAAGAGAAGATATACATTAATGTGAAAACCCACTTACCCTTTAAAACAAACGAGCTCCTCAACTTACAAACCTTTCTGGATGATCTGGCCTCAATCACTTAGGAAATATGCAAATATTGACTTAATTAGCATATGAGAGAGACCTAATGCAGCAAGGGCTGATTTGGGAACACATTGCCAGTTTGGAAAAAAATGGTGAAAAGTAGTTTTGGTATTGCAAGAAAATAAAACCGTGGTGATGGAAATGGAGCATTTTGTTTTCACTGCACAGCCTTCTCTCAACCCCAGTGACGGCATGTGGGGCTGCATAACTCAGAAATGGTCAAGGATCACACGGGTGGCAGGGCCGTCCTCTGCCTGTTGTTTGTGCCATCACAGCAATGCTATTGACTCTTCTGTAAGCACATCCTGTACCTCCCTGTTTCCTTCACCTGAGAGGAGAAGATATTGACTAGTCATCCTTCTACTCCAAAAAATGTGATGGATTTCACACAGAGGACTGTTATATTCTTTTGAGACCTATAAAAACTCTTGGGTTCTAGATGTTTCAGAGTAATTCTGATTAAATTTTCCTCCTAAGTTAAGCTGAAGTTGAAACTAAATCTTTTTTGTGAGCCAGTGGGTATGATTGAATCCTAATTCAGTTTTTATGATTGTCTTACATCCATCCCATAGCAGGTTTTTATATTTAGACTAAGACAAAACCTATCAGTTTAATTCAGAGAACACAGTTATCTGAAGTGTTTTATTTTTGCCTTTGAGTGGATTGAACAATTAACTAATTGATTCTCATCACTCAAATTTGAACTTTTTGTATTAACTTTGAATGAGACATTATTTTCCATTCTATCTTTTGAACATTCAACTAATTTTATTATTGCTTGTTTTACATTTGTCCTCATCTCTCTTGACTCAAAAGTATATTGGTAAGTGTTACATAGTGGGAATAAGAGTGGGCCAGAGATCGCAGGATCAGAGACCAACTCTTAGTTCTTCTGCAGCTTATGAGTCAATTTCATTTGTAATATGTTTACTTCACAGAGCAGTTCAAACACTAGTCAGATATTGGTAAGTGCTGTTATTCTCCCCCAATAAAGAACTGATCAAAGAACTTGCATCTCCTTGCTGCTTGGAAGAGGAGACAGCAAAGAACCATAGTAATTGCTTCTAGTAGGTAAAGAAACATACATTGCAACACCTTCAGGTTTACATACTCTTCTTAAAAAATTTCATTGTGAAGTATGTGCTTTACCACTGAGTAAACAATTACAGCTAAATCTACCATATGACCCAGCTATTCCACTGCTGGGTATAGTATGTGATTTCCATACCAAGAGGAATGGAAATCATCATATTGAAGGGATACCTGTACTCCCATGTTTATTGCAGTGCTATTTACAATGGCCAAGAGTTGGAACCAGCCTAAATGTCCATCATCAGATGAGTGGATAAAGAAACTGTTGTATATTTACACAATGGAATACTACTCTGCTATATAAAAAAACAAAAAAGAAATACTACCATTTGCAGCAAAATGGATGGATTTAGAGAAAATTATATTAAGTGAAATAAGCCAGGCATAGAAAGAGAAATACATGTTCTCACTTATTTGTGGAAGCTAATAAAAATAAATAAATAACTACACAAATAAATGGGGGGGAAGTCACAACAATTCCTTGAACTTGCTAAGACAAGTGAACAGATATGATGTTGATGAGGGAGGAGGCGGGGAGAGGGAAGAGGAAAAGGAGGAACTGGTAAAGGGACACAAAAATCAACTACATTGTATATTGATAAAATTTTTAAAAATAAAATAAAAAATCTCACTGCTATAACAAAATCAAAGATTTGAATCCCCATACTGGTCAGACACAAAATAAAGAAAAAAAAAATCTCATTGCTGAGATTTTTAGACCCATTTCACTCACATGAACATAAGAGATACAGGAACTTAAATGAGGAATCAAAGTGAAGTCTCCGTTCCAGATAAATGTTTGAGAAAAACACGTCATCTCACTTGACTTTCCTTTTATCGAATTTACTTATTTAAAATAATTTATTTCAGAAATAGAATTCTGACGTGTTCCCCATGCAGAATTCCTCAAACTCCATCCCATGAGGGAGGTAGGTGTTCTTCGATGCTTCTCCAAGAGGGGTTTTTTATTTAAATGATTTTGGAAATACTGTAGTGCATTCCTTTAGGACACTGAAAGTGCACCTTAGCATATTAAATGAATCCTGTAGTTAGATGAACTTGTTTTACTGCATCTTTACCCCAAACTGTTTGAGCACAGTACACATACGCCAAGAACATCCTTAGTAATGTCCTAAAGAAAAGTATTCCATGACCACCGGTTGGGGGCATACGGTAGCATGCATGATAACAACTGTAAGGCCTAGGCATAGTTAATCCACAAATCTGGAGGTATGACAAATTAATAACTACCACTTACAGCCCAGCATGTAAACTGTAGTGTTCTAAGCATCATAGATGAAGAAATGAGGGTTTTACCTAAAGACTCACGATAAGCCTTGTCACATCTTTCCTCTGCCTCCAGGTGTGTGGCTATAGTATGTGTCAGTGCTGCCCACAGTACTGCTGGCTTCCTCCTTCTGGGCATATGATGGAATCTTACATCCCCACCCCCTTGGAGTTAGGGGTAGTCATGTGACTTATTTTGGCCAAAGAAATCTGAGCAGACCTAATATGTTTAAGTTATGAGCAGAAGGATTTAAGAGCCAAGTATAGTTCTCCATTTCCACCCTTAGCAGCTAGTGATGTTCTAGATGAGGGCCAGATCCCCGAGTGGGGACAACATGGAGCAGATACCCCCATCTTCCAAAAACACACACCAACCCATGGTGGACATGTAGAGTGATCCAGAAATTAATCTTTTGTGTTTTAAGCCACTGTGATAGAGGGGTTGAATGCTACAGTGCAGAGCCTCCTTGCCCATCCTGTCTATATTGTGGCCCTCCAACCAGTCATGCCATGGCTGAGATTGGGATGCCACATGGTCCTCACCTACCGTACAAGTTAGGGCTCTCAACGTCCATTCGATGCTTTTGAGCTTCAAGAAAAACATGAATGTTGATTCCTCTGGCTGCGGAGCCACAACGGAAGAATCTGGCTGGGATTTGTGTGCAGATGTCTGGCTCGTCAGCACCGAATCCCAGATCCAAGAGAATCTCCACTGGATCTTTTTCCCCAAATTCCAGCCATTCAGGAATGCTGTGGTAAAAACATTGAATCTCTTTATCCAATAACAGTTCACTTAACTAAAAGCCATTTTCTAGTCACTTCAACCACCCAATCTTCCAGAAATTGAGTGAAAGGGGAAACTGAATAGACAAACAGATGGTGCATTTACTAGAGCCTGAATATACTTACTTAAAGGACAGACCAGTGCCCCAGCTCAGGGACTGCTCGCCTGTACTACAAACAATACCAATGAGTTTACTTATCTGCTTTCAATTTCACAACTGGCACATGTTAAATTATATAGGACAGGGAGACTGTGGGACAGAAGCCAGAGATAGCACCCTGACAACGACAAAGACTTGGTAATTGATGGCCAGAGAAGAAACAGAAAAAAAATTGTGGACTGTAGACTCAGAGAAGAATATTTTTAAAATGGATCACTCAGTCATCCTCACCTATACAAATCTGTCAAGGATATCACTAAATGCTGACTACAAGGACTCATGTTTACAAATAATGATTTTAAGTCCCTTGGTAAGATTAAAATATGTTCCGTGTGTGCATATATATATGTAAATTTTTTTTGATTTGGCCCAGAAACAAGAAATGCTTTTATCAAATTGCTGTAGTATGTTTTGGCACTTAAAATGATAAACATAAGTTATCTGAAAATTGTATTTATGTATACCAATTCACTTCTCAATTACTGAACTTCTGGGTTGCTATGCTATGGGCCTTTGTAAAACTCATGAACTCTATGGGAATCAGAACTTTACTAAGGTTTTACCGGGTTTGCTCAGCTCTTTTGGTGAAGTTTCTGTTTGCCTTCACATGAAATACTAATGAACTTATTTGAGATAGTTTGTATAATTTTACTTTTGTGACTTCATCATTTCAATTGGATTTACTACAATTCATTTACTGAGCCATGCATTCAACAACAGCCACCCATAGTCTCACTGGACAGGCCCCCTCACCTGACACCACTAGACGTCATGCTCATACTTTCTAAAGTAATGTGGAGATCTGGGTTTTGCCTCCACTTCACATGGTGAAGGATTTCACATTGCAGGGATGACAGTCTCTAAGTGCTGTTCCCAGGGCTGCTGTGGCCATCCACAGACAACAGTAGCAAACTCCTTTGCCACCAAAAAAATCTTCCCCTTCCTTCAATCACGGAAGAAAAGGTAGGCCGGGAATCGTCACTGGCTCGACTTGGATAATCTTAATCACTGGAATTAACCGGAGAGCTCGGGGTGCCAATCACTTGATTAAATCGACACAGACACCTTAATATATAGGTGGTTCAAAGGAGAAAAACACCCTGGTAAGAAATCTAAATTGTGCATGAAAAATTTAATCTATTATCATATAGAGCTCATTGTACAAATTTTTATTCTACCCATTTATACAAATATTTATTGAACATCTGTCATGTTCTACGCCATATTGCTAGGCACCCACAGCATAAAAATGAACAGACAGTCCTAGCTTTCCAAAGGCTCCAGTCTTATGTCCAAGAATATAATTATTGATTGACTTGTCGTTTAATATATTTTTAGATCACTATAAAATATCATTAACTTTTTAATTTATATTTAATTGGGCAAGAAATACATAAAATATACTCACCTTGTTAAAAAAATTACATTACACATAAGGCTCTCTCCCCCCTTAGCCATCACTCCCACCAATCCTGACCCCCTTCTGTTAAATCCAAGTGTATTCTTCCAGACATTTTTATATGTAGTTACATATATAGTTTTCACTTGTTTGCTTTATAAATAGTAACATACACTATGTATCTTCTTGCATCTTCCTTTCTTTTTCCTCTGAAATATGCCTTGAAGATCTTTCTAAGTTAATACGTATATCTCTACCTATTCTTTTTATCACTGCATGGCATTCCACAAAGTGAATGGACCAATAGTTTATTTAGCCATTTCTCCACTGACAGATATTTAGTCTGTTTCCAGTTTCACTGACTATTTTATATTGTCCTTGCAAATTGGAGACTGAAAATCCTTTATTCGTTCTCTCATCCATTCATTCAACAAATATATCTCAAGTGCCTCCTTATAATATTATGAGATCCATTGTTGCACAGAATGATTTCTCTGGATGAAAAATGCCTGGAAATTACATACCTTTGTGGTCTACTCGCAGTAGAATGGCAGGAGTTGAAGCTGGCCCCTCTGGATAGGGTGGGAGTTTCTGAACACTGATGCAGAGATCTACAGCCGGGAAAACACCAACAATGACATGTGTTGATTTAGATAGTCCTTGGGAGGTCATTGTGAATCTTTCCCCTCCAAAGCAACACTTGCATTTCCTCTTAGTTTCTAATAATCCCATAATGGCCACACCTTTGAAGAAGACAGAGCCTGCAGCTGAGGAGTGGCTCCTGTTTTTGAGAGTGTTCTGTTACAGAAGGCGTGAGAATTTAAGTGTTAAGTGTCCGCTAGTGCTCATTATAAAGGTGACAGAATGTCTCATTTTTGACAGATGGCAAATCACTGGGGAACCTTTCAGAAACACAGCTTTGTTAGACATCAACTTTTGGGGGGAAGTTTAAATCGTGTGATGGAAGAGGTACTGCAGGCAGCCACTGAAGCGACTCCACATTACTTCTCACGGAAGTAAGATGGTGACGGATTTCACGTTGCATGCCTGACAGTCTCTAAGTGCTGTCCCCAGGGCTGCTGTGGCCATCCACAGACAACAGTAGCAAACTCCTTTACTACCAAAAAAAATGAGTGTCACTCTATCCAACAGGCCTGCACTGCAAATCATTTGAAAGTGCTTCCTAAGAGCGCTATTATGTTAAAATACAGCTCAGTTTTATGTAGCTCAGCCCTACGATGGATTATATCCAGCCCCATCAAATATAATTGTCATTTGGCATAAAATTAGAATTTCTCTCAAAAATACAATGCAGATAACAATGTTCTTAAGGAGACCAAGTTAACCTACTTGGGCTGCTGAATTTGCCTTAGTCCTAGCCATATGGTAAGAATAGGTAGGCCCTGCCTCCTCTTTGTTTAGATGCTTCTCTTCATTAAGTCCGAGAAAGTGCATGCTTCTGGATAATAAAAACTCTGCTTTTTACAGACAGTGGAGCTTGCCGGGAGCCTTGAGGAGAGGCAGAAGATGTGCCCTCATTGTTGCCTATCCTCAGTTTGCAGAAGACCTACATAATTTATTTTTCACTCTGGGTTTGAGAGTCACACCTTATTTTGTAATGCTCAGCAGAGCCACCCAGAAGCAGCCCTGGTCTTGGATCTAGACTAATCCATGTGTAGTCACTTTTCTAATAAGGCCATGGGGCACATTCCAATCCCTGAGCCTGGCTCTCGTTTTCCTCTTTGACTAGAGGAGAGAGTTGCCTGAGAGGTTTCTGTGGTCCCTCACAGCTCTCAACCTCCATGAGAAGCAAAAACAATCAGCCCTTTAAAGAGGAAAACTAAAACTACAATGAGTAGCATTTTAGGCACGAATTGGTACAAGTAAGAGGAATACAGAAATGTGTCTTTGGTTTTCAACTTGTTGCAATTATCCTGAAAATGCAAGAACGATGAAAGCTCAGGAAGCAGAGTTCCTAATCTCAAAGAGCTCAGGCTATTCCGGTGGCTCTTAAACTAGAGTGTGCCTCAGAATCATTTGAAGGACTTGCAAAAATGCAGATTTGTGAGCCTTACCTCCAGATTTTCTGATTCAGTATACCTGGGATGGGGTTGGGGAATTTGCATTTTTATGCTGCTGCTGCTGTTTCCGGGAGCACACTTTGAGTCCTAGTCTACTCTCATATTAAGAGACTCTCACTGCTTTCTACCTAGCACTGAAAATCGTATATATTATTTTCCAGTAAATAGCATCATGATGAACTACATTGGCAAAATGAATATATGAATGTAACTGTTTTATGAACAAGTCCTATGAACAGTTGCATTCTAGTAGAATGCCGTTTATACATATGTTCTAATTAAATTCCCCCCCCAAATAAGCATTTGTTTGACTTAATTTGCCCACTCCCTTATGATATTTAAGGAACCCCTATTTTTCTCAATGCTAGTGAAAACATTCTAGGCACCTTTCACAAGATCCCAAGATCCATGGTGTTATTAAGAAACTTCTTCACTTCTCCATCATTGATCAAAGATGTGGTTGTAACACGCTGGAGTGAAGTAGTGTTGATTCTGCCACCTACCTCATGTAGTCTTCCACAGTCATTTGAACCACTCCTTCTTTATGCAAAGAAGCTGCAACAAAAAAAAGTAGGGGTAAACTTAATCTCCTTTTATCTCGTGGATGATTTTCTCATCCCCAAATGAATCAATGTGGGATTGAGTTTCCATATTCAAGTTTGTATAGGCATGAAATATAAGGCATCTCTGTAGTGAACAAGACAGAATATAGTTAATGGCTAAATTGTGTGACAAGCACCTGAAGAAAGGTACTTGCTCAGGGGAGGGGAAGGCAGTGGCAGGTGGAAGAGGCAGCAAAGGTTTCACAGAATAAGTGGTACTTGTCTTGGATTTTTAAGAATGGGGAGAATTGGGGGCTAGCTGGTTAGCTCGGTTGGTTAGAGTGCTGTGTTATAACACCAAGGTCAAGGGTTCAGATACCCATACCGAGCAGCCACTGGAAAAAAAAAAAAAAGAAGAAAGAAAGAAAAAAAAGAACAATAGGGAGAATTTGATGGATTAAAAAGAGGTGTTGCCATGAAAGAAGAGAAAAAAGGTGTCTATAGCACGTGCAAAGTACATGTGAGGGCTAGTTTGATTCAATCACAGAGCACTGCAAAATACCCTGTCATGGTACATAAGGTTGAGGAGCAAGGGTGGGACGGGCAAAAGAGTACACGAAGGACCCCCCATTGATTATGTTCCATTCATTTGTATCACATCTAATCCTTCCAACAGCCCTACAATTATGTCCTATCCTCATTTTTTAGATAAGGAAACTGAGACTCAAGAAAGTTTAATAATGAGCTCATAATCATATAGTCAAAAGTACAGATCTAGAAATCTATTACCACCTTTGTTATTGATTATAGCAATAATAATTACTATTTAGCATCAACTTTGTGTGAGACAACATGCTAAACAGTACATGCACAATCTCCTTTCTAATTTTCTCAACAAATCCAAGAAATAAGTATTATAAATCCCCACTTAATAGAGGGGAGAACTGAGGCTCAGAGAGACTGAATACATTTCTCATGGCCAGTAGGATGCCACAACTTCTTTTAGTTTGTTGTTTTTTTATTTCTTATCAAAACACCACACTATGAACTAAATGTCTTGCAGGTTATTTGAAAGCCAGAAAGAGGAGTTTATAGGTATGTGTCAGGACATGGACAACCATGAAATGTGTTTGAGCAAACAGGTAAACGTGAGGAAGGTGATGCTGGAAATCCATGTGCTGGGCAGTGCTGCTGAGGACAGTGTCTCTAAGGACACATATGTTGGATGTCAGAGAGGTTCATTCAGGGGTCGCTGCAGTATTCAGACCCTGTGTCCTGACAAGACATTGTGGCAGACATCTACAGGAGGCAATGTTTACAATACATTAAATTCCTTAGAAGGTTCTCCAATCTTCTCATTTCCACTCACTAGTGGCTCTTCTGGGTACAACTGTGTGACATGTATAAAACTGGGGAGTGTTGCCACCCTGTACTCCTATGAGAATATGAAGTTTGTCACCCCAAGAGAGCTAATACAGGTTGGGAGAAATTTGGAAAAATAAAACTGAATGATGGAAACATGTGAAAAAGTGCTGAAATTAATAAAGGACCAGGGTTCTTATCCAGGTAGGGGTCTATGAATAGACCTCAAGGTATCTGCAAACTTGTTGGGAATGCCAAATTTGGGGTGTGGAGAGGAATTCCCATAGTTTTCACTAGACTTTTCAAAGGCTTAGTTACTCTGCTAACTGGAAAAGAAACACTGGTCTAGAAAGATAGAGACTGGAGATGGACTACTGAGGTGCGGATTCTTCACCAAGCCAAGAATACATGACTACAATTTATTGATTTATTTATTTTACTGGACTTTGTAATTAGGATGACTTACTTTCATTTTATTAGAGAAGAAACAGAGATACCGAGAAGTTGTATTTTGACAATTAGTTGCTGGACTACTTATGCCTCTAATTTGAATCTTCTCCCCCAGAAAGCTTTTAAAAGAAGCAAGGTAACGTTTATATTGAATGGCTTAGGTGTACTCTAGCCTTCAAGTAAAGATTAAGTCTCAAATTATATTTTATTGCCCAAGGAATTTTTTATTAACTGAAGCATAATTGATTATACATATTTTGGGGGTACAGTATTCACTATCAGTATTTGTGTACTATATGTGATGATCAAACAAATATTACTAGTACATTCATTACTACAAAGTGTAATTATTCTTTATGTCCTTTACCCAATTTAAAGAGGTAGTAAGAAAACAGGCATAAATAATGTCTGCCCTACAAGACTAATGGAACTCTGTCACCTCAAGAATTAGACAGGATAAGAAACGGAAACTTATTTTAAAGGTTTAAATACAGAGTGAGGGTATATACGGCCTCTGTGCTACGAACCCTAATCCTATTTCCAGGGCAGATGTCATTAACCAATAGGGTCACTTCTGATCGAGCGTAGATAGGCTTTCAAAACCTTCAGGAAAACCACTACCAGCTGATTGGAATTACCACATAAGACAAAGCTCTTTACCATCCTTTCTTTAGAATAAATTTCGTGAGTGGGTTTTTGAGAAAAACAGTGTAATTTGGGGGTACATATCTAAAATTAGGAAGTTGGTGATGTGAAGAAAATGCATAACTGCATAAGCACTTCACAAAACATCCTAGGGAGCCACTAGGATGGAATATCAACATGAAAGGCCATTATTATGGTACCAATGAGATGTTTCTTAAATTTCCTATGTGACATCTGCTGACAGATATTCATGTAACTAATAATAGAATATTTGACTCAAACTTATGCACCAAAGCAAAAATGGACTTAGAACCAGGACTCTGGTCTTTTTTGCCCATTACATCTGTAGTTTTATAACTTTGGGCTTTAACAGAGGAATTCAACAACCATATGAAATCTTTCCCAAAATTCTAACAATTTAAGTAGATTTTAAAAAGAGCTCCTCTTAATGGAGTGTTCTTTCATTTAACCCTTTCTCTACCCTGTGAGGCACCTCCAGGACCCAGAACTTGAAAACTCTCATTGGTTCAATACACACGTCTCTCGTCTGGGCGGGCGTTGCTAATTCATCGCAGCACTCTTCTCGCTAAACTCAACTCAGTCTCAGAGCTTCTTAAACTTGTAAAACCACTGCTTACCGATTAAAATTGGTACATGAGAGAAAGCCTATTTGCCCCTTATTAATCAGGTTGTAGATGCAAGCACAGTATAATTTTTAGGCAATAATGTTGTGATGACTTGATGCCATGACAAATCAAATAAGTTGCCCAAAATGGAAGGCAAAATAAGCATTTATCAATTTAAGAAATTTTAAAAATTTCTCTCTACCCTCTTTCCTACCAGCACCACCTCTATCTACTACCTCGCATGTAACTCACGAAGTAAACCTCCATTTGTTTAGCTCATCTGGAGAATTCTGAAGAGCTTCTGAGCACCTCCCCTCTCTTAAAACATTCCATGTTTCTAGGACATTTGGCTGCATGCTCGGCCAGGACCTTGGCTCTTGCCACTGCCCCAGTCTTTTCTGGTTGTTTGCTATTGCTCTGGGTTTCCTAGAACATGTAATGGCCACAATGAATTGCTCAAACTGTCAGAGAGGAAATGATCCATTTCCAGATATTGATGAGAAGGGTTAGCTCAGCCTTGCTGAGTTTTCAAAATCCCTAGCCCTGCAGAAAATCTAGTGATCCAGAAGAATCTGGAGCCATTCGCCCAGGACTTCTTCAGGGGATTATGGTACCCACACAGATCTAGTAGAAACACTCCATGGACCAACTCTTCCTCCCTGCCACTGTGATTCAGGAGCATTCTGGTGGCCAGGACACCCAGGGCGCCTCCAGAAGGAAAAGAAGTAACACATTTTCTATGGAATATGAAAGTGGACCTGGCTCCATCACAGTGTGAGGCATTTTCTGGTCTGATGACACCTGTGAAAGCCTCACACAGTTTTCAAACCAGCCGGGAAAAGTGCCTTCTAGCCTTCCAGTGTCCAGCCAGCATCCCGAGATGCCCAGATATCCCCAATAACTAGGGGATGACCCCCCATCAACATACCAGTACAGCTCTTACATTCTTTGCTAGACTCCTTACACGCTTTCTTCTAGATCATATTTAAAATGATGCAAATCTCTATCTACAGCCAATACAGTCAGGCCTAAAGCCTTCTCTGCTGCCAAGCTTAGATTTTGGAGAAAACCAAGTCAAGGAAAAAGGATATCATTTTTTTTTTTAACTCACAAGATAAGCCTGATTTTTAAGATTGTGTATAAAATTACTGAAAATTTATTAGGTTCACTGCTTGATTTCCATTTCACATTCCTGAGCTCCCTGGGTCCTGGGAGACCAAGTGGTATTTTCATGGTGTTATTGTGTGTTCACTTCTTGATTGTTGCCGAAACAGCGATTGGCCTTTCTAGCATTTGGAGACAAGCAGTTGGGAGTCTTGCAGAAAGCAGCATGAAACTATTATTCCTTGCCTGTTGGAGGTTTTCTTTTCTTTTTTTCATTTTGCTAATTTCTATGGTAAACCTTACTTCCTGAAGCCTGAGAATGGACTCTTCAGGGTTGGGTCCTCTTCTTCCCTTTGCCTGTTTTCAATAATGAAAGGAGAGGCACAATCTGGCGGCCCGTGATGTGCCAGTTCTCACAGGCATTGCGATTCCTAGACTTTCCTTAAAACTTGGAAGAGCCAGCAGCACCAGCCCAGGTGTCTTGAGGACAGCAATCTGTCAAAGGCAACTTGCTCTCCAATTTTCTGCAGTGTCGTTCCTGCCTGCTTCGTTCATTGGCAATTACCTGGCTGGCTCCTGGAAGCACTTGTGTCTACTACCTCCAATCGCAGCAAGAATCTGATGCCTAGGGAATGCCATAATGGGACAGACAAACTGTTCCTGTTACCCCAATTTTCCCAAGCTTCTGCAGATGCCAGGCTTGAGGCTGCCCAGGTAGAGGCCGCCTACAAATGAACCTGTGTTCACCACCCAAAGCCCAGCTTGCTAGGTTCTGCTCCGTTCCTCGCTCCCTTGTCTAGGCGCGAGCTTTTGATATTTTCTCCAT